ATATACAGGGTGAGCCATTTTAATCGACGGATCCAAATTGCTCCTAAAATACGCCAGCTACAAAAAAATGGTTAAGACAAAAATTGTAGAGAACAACGGGGGTCATTTTACCATGCTAATAATTTTGACCTTCAGATCGATTTTCAAGGTCATTCGAAGGTCAAAGTCATTTTTTTAAATTAGAACCCCTATTTTTGACACCGGATTCAAAAAGAGTAGAAAATTTTACGTTAAAAATGATATTTAGATTTTTTTCTGAGTCCAAGAAGGTCAAATCAAGAACTTGGAAGATGTTAATTCAATACTTTTAGCGTTACCCGGAAACAACGACGTGGACGTGGAGGATAGTCAGCCATATTTAAAAAAAATTTTTTCAAGTTATCCTGCACTTAAAAAAGAAAAATTGTTATACTTTAAAAGTGTTTGTTTTTACTTTTAAAATTTTATTTATTACGCCTTATTAATAACCATATCAAAGTGAGATTATTGCGCATCAATTTCGGAAATGGAATGACAACGTTTCGCAACTTTTCTTCTATTAGTATTTGTTAGTACCGCGAAACACTTATCACGCATAAAAATCTTTAAAATTAACATTAACAGCTTCTAAGTTGTTTTTAATCATTTTTTATTTGACCTTCTTGGACTCAGAAAAAAAATCTAAATATCATTTTTAATGTAAAATTTTCTGCTCTTTTCGAATCCGGTGTCAAAAATAGGGGTTCTAATTTAAAAAAATGATTTTGACCTTCAAATGATCTTGAAAATCGACCTGAAGGTCAAAATTATTAGCACGGTAAAATAACCCCCGTTGTCCTCTAGAATTTTTGTCTTAATAATTTTTTTGTAGCTGGCGTATTTTAGGAACAATTTGAATCCATCGATTAAAATGGCTCACCCTGTATATATATGCACGTACACATATAAAATATTTTATTTGCAGATACGTGAAAAATAACAGCAATGAAGACCTATTACATATAGTAAAAGTAAAAACTATTGCTTGTTATTTTTATTTAAAATTAAAAAGAAGCAAAGCTACTATGTATTTACCAGAGCTGTGAATTTTCTTGAGAAGGTCTTTCTTTGCAAGAAGCATTCTAAAAATACTCTGAAAACCGGAATAAACCAGGACAGTCTGGCTGAATCCGGGACAAATCCGAATAGCATTCGAGAAAATCCAGGACAAAGGGTAAAAAATCGGGAAAAACGGGCACTTTATGTAATGGCTAAGAGTTCTTCAAATAAAAGTCAGGATACCGTTCGCCACTTATAGAGAAGAAATGAGTAAATGAGTGAGAAAGAAGTTACAGCGTCATTTTGATCTTAGAGCTTCTCTCTCACTTCTATTCTTCCCTATTAATGGCGAATAAGGTTCGGTCCAATCGGGAATCATCACGCGATGTCCAACTCTTACTTAAGGAACTCTAGTAATGACGTAATTGCGAGACGGTCAATATCTAAGAGATAATGACCGAGCGATGATTAACCACCGTGTTTGAATATTAGAGATAATGTCGCGTTATTGATATCTATGATGTCGTGGATGAATGCCCGCGTTTATTTTCAGACAGAACCTCCGACTGTTCGTGTTCCGGTGTTCCGCTTCATTGACCAGAAGCCGGTTTTGAATAGTACGCTGGCGACGGATCGCGCGATTACTTGTTATAGGATGTCGCTATCAGTTTTCACAGACTGTGACGAATCTCGCGTAGATGTTTTCCATGCTGCGTATCTTGTTCCTCGCGCGACACCTTGAAGGCTCAAATAATGCAGATGTGGAACTCGCGCGGAAAATAAGATATTAAGGAATGTTCCGTTTGTTTTACTGTACGATCAAATGACGTATTGCACATCGCGAGTACTTGCAAGTAACGATGAAATAACGCTGGTGATGAGTAAAGTTGGTTGGTGATAACAATGACTTAACGCTGACGATAAGTGAAGTCGGCTGGTAAATCAGAAGGACAGACGATTCGAGGCATATCATTGGCATTTATACAAATTCGAATCTTGTTACAATCACACTCAAGTACAATCTCGTTTGCTTTCGTAGTGATACAAAGGAAAATACGCACATGTGGCCGACGCTTCGTTTCAAGCTGCCGAATACGCGCGCCGAATATTCTGACTTTCGGGAAAAATCTGCGCTGCGTTGCGTGTGACAAGAAGAAAGGGAAGAGAAAAGAAAGGAAAAGTAACCGCTTTTGTAGATACAGCAATACATTGTTCGTTCGTTCGTTCATTCATTCGCTAGCACGCTCTTTCCTTTTTCTCCAACTATAAAATCACAACCGACAGTAAAAGGTAACAAAACAGTATCGGAAGCTTCAATGCGAGAATGAAAATAAGTACACAATCATCTAATCGCTCATCCATTTCATTCAAGCACGAAATGGACCTCTTTCTCTCTCTCTTTTTCTCTCAACAGATCAATCATGGACTTATCTCATTCTTGAACCGAACCCTTCAAATTCTCAACAAAACCGGACGCACGTCTCTCTCGTTTCCTCCGCAAACTCATTCAACGCTCGAGAGAAGTTTCTCTTTCTCTCTCTCTCTCTTTCTCACACACAAACACACAATTCCAATTCGTCTTCACACACACTCGCGTCGCCCACGACAATTATGATGACACGCTTTCTTAATGTGCGTTCTTAATGTCCAATCTATACGATTGGCTCTACGAAAACAAATTCGTGTACAATACTAAAAATCAGAGGCATATCCTTTACCCTGTCTCGGTAGACGATAGAATCTCGACGTAACGCAATCGGCTACTCGCCTCGCACGTGCACTTTTCTCTCTCGCCCGCACTAGTTCCTCCTCCGTTTTGCGACAAAACAACCTGTCGTTTCGCTGAAGATTCGACCCGGCATCATTTCAGAGAACGTATCATCCTTATAGCTTGTTACGTTGAGCGTCTATCATTATCGATCAGTGATATCGCTTACGTACCTAAGCATGACAATAAAAACAGCTCTTACTCATTTTCTCTCTCTCTATCAATTTGAAAAAAAAATAACAATAATTTCATCTATGATATAATAATAATGTACAACTCATACACGCTACCATACGACAACCTACGAATAACATTAATTACTCCATATCATTACGCGAGACTTAATACGCGGAAACATTCAACATTCCTTTAAATCTTAGGACTTAGCTTCCTGATTACGACGATCATGTCATCCCAAGAAAATCGTCTAATCGTATCACGGCGCACTACGTACGACACAGTATGAAGTATGATTTATATTTAGGTCGAGTACACCTATGTATTTTTCTCTTTTTCAATTTATCGAGCAACATTTGCGTCAATCGCTACTCGCGCTACTTGACGCAAGAATCACCGAAAAATCCGCGGGGGCTCTTAAACATCACACGTCGGGGAAGCTAAACCATCTCTCAAACAGTAACAATAATGGAAATGAGTCAATCGACGACGAATTAAAAATTTTCTACGAAAGTCATTCGCTCGCTCGGCGAAGGGAGGCCGAGAAGAGAGATAGAGAAAAAAAATACATTTTTTGTTCGCTCCCCTCGCCGTGATAAATAGTACATGGCTCGCAACGTTCAGGAAACTTAGCCGCATCTTGATCGCGAGAAATTTGAATAACTTACGCAGTAACGATTAAAGACTAAATCGGACGTCAATGATAATATCAGTAATTCAGCAACGTATATAATACGCAAAGAAGATATACAAGCAAGGCGAAAGTGCGATGTCCATTGTCGGACAAGAGCCTCGCTCGAATTGAAGTAACATCATCCCTTCGATTAATGTCTCGCTTGATACATCAGTTCGATTAGCACGGCTCATCGTGAAATGATACGAAGAGATTTCTCAGATACACACTCAGAATCCAATCGCGCCTATCGCTCGAACGGGAGAGAAATTGTGAGGAGTCTCGTGACTTGTGAATTCTTCACTTCAGAATCGGGGGTTATTATTTGTACCCGCTTTTTCAAATGCAACGAGACTCGTACGCACAAGCGCGCGCGCGCGCGCGCGCGCGTGTGTGTATACATGTGGACGATATGAGGAGGAAATTTAGAAGCACAGATCCCGCGTGAAGAATCTCCGATAGAAAACGCGTCGCGGGACGTGTCGACAGTTCGCGTGATTCAAGCCGCCGCGCAATCTCTTCTTCTTCTTACGTATAATAATAGTCTTACACCTAGAAGCTTAATTATATCGCACGGTGAAAACGTATCGTTTTATTTAACTAATGAGCAACATGGACATTTAGAGTAGACTTTATCGTTATGAGCAGTGATTATATCGTCAGAGTACGCGCCAACATTTGTATAACCGGACGGACCACAAAGAAAGATAGGCTAACGAATAGAGAACTGGCATCGCACCCTCTTGCCAAGCTGGACTAAGTCGATTCTAAATTCCATGACGATTGACACACACACACACACACACACACACACAGACTCCTCTGCAAATATCGACCGGTACGACGCGTCTCCATTAATTAACGAATAGAGTCTGTGCGGCACTTTTACATCTCGATGATAATTGTTAATAAAATCCGCAGTTCTATTGGCTGAATTACGATTTTGTTAGCGACGGCTAATTTATCAATAAAATAAATCGCTCATTTATATTGATTAATAACGGCAATTTTACAAATGTCAGCACGTACGAGTACCATTGATTCGAAACGAGCTGATCGATTCTTGGCTGATTGACCTAGTCGTGCTGACAGAGTAACGACTGGTATCGAGTATCGCTTGTAAGGCTAATATTATATGCGTCGTACGAGAAGTATTGCTGGACGTGACGATTGGCTAATGGATAGATTTCTAAAGTCCTTAACTCCTTTCCAAGTACCCCAGAAATCCACTACCCGACAGCCAATTAGAGCGGCCGACAAGCTTGTCGTACGACACATGTAATATTAGCCTTACACTGCAAATCCAAGTGTATTATTTTGGATGTCTTTTTGCGTACGTTTTTAGTTCTAGTTTCTAATTCTAGCTTCTAGTTCTCGTCATTTAATATGCTTAAACGTAATTATAATTTGCGCGTCTTAAGCGTGTTAAATGACGCGTGTTAAAACAGCAAAAGGGTCTCTTCAGGCAAATTACACGTTTATGCGTTTAAAGATAATACAGTTGGATTTGTAGTAAATGCGGACGAGTTGTACCTATGGCAGAGATGAAGCCTAGTATATGAAGCCTTGCTCTTCGGTGCTGAAGCAAATTTGTTTTTCATTTTCTTCCTTTTGTTGTCTTATTCGTCGATGCAATAACGAGCGAAAGCGAATTCAAATCCGATCAAGTACAACGTAAGTATATAACAAAATGCTAATATATTCTCTGATAAAAGAATTCTCGCGACTCGTTCATATTATTATACAATATTTTCTATATACAATAAATTAACAGAACTAATGATACATATATGTACATACATACCTACACACATACATATATATATGTATGTATGTATATATAATACTAAAACTTTAATGCATTGCGATGTACCGAGCTTCAACTTTTCATATATCTCTGCTATCTCTATCTTGTTTGAATTATGCAAGATGCTTCCGCGGCGACAAGTGTTTGATTCTGCTGTGCAAGTGTACCTGTATTACTTCTAATTGACCTACGTGATGTAATATCGTTAAGCAGTTATACGCGACGAGATACCTGAGTTATGCGAATGTGCAAACACCAATTGCATCTCTCCTCGTAACGGCACATATCACTGCTCTATCTCTCTCTCTCTCTCTCTCTCTCTCTCTCTCTCTCTCTCTCTTTTCCTCTCCAATTTCGATTATCTCACGACAGTGTGCAACGGAATCATCTTGTATAGAAATTATCGCAACAAAATAGCATCGTATATTCCCTCTTCTCGCATTTTTCCCCCCTCCGAAAAATAAACATCCTATAAAATTATACCGTACGCGAGATGATATATGCGAGCCATCGAATACTAAGTCGACTATATATTTATATATATGAACATGAATGTGTTTTCCTTCGTGTATGTGTGGGCGTATGTATGTATGTATGTATGTGTGCACTAATATTAGATATAAATGTAAATGAGATCGTGTAAATACTGTAGCCCGAAGCATAACTTCACTTCACTTGAATCGCGTCTCACTGCTGCAGCAACTATGCCGTTTCGTGTGATTTCGAGTTAGTAACTTTACGAACATGCGTCTGGACACAATCAAAATAACGTATCTCTCGAACTCGCCTGTATATCTGTTTGAAAGTTCTCGTTATGCGGTCTCGTTATACGTCTTGTATGACAAACATTTCACATTTTTACGGAAATAGTTAAAACCTCTCGGAAATATAGGTATCTTAATTGCTTTCAGGTATTTGTTTGACGGAAGCCTATAGATTTGAATATAGAAATTTCATAAAGCTATAAATTCAAAATCTGCCCTCTTTTTCTACCGCTTTCTTTCTCCTTTCTTCCTCTTTTGATTAGTCTCTCTCTCTCCCTCTCTCTCCCTCCCTCTCTCTCTCTCACGTCTCGTACGATCATCAGATATCCTACGAGCCCTTCTGCCTCGAATTCTGCGAAGAACGACTTGCTTCTCATATTTCGCGTTTGATTAACACACAGATATCTAATCAAAATGACTATCCTCCGCTACGTATATATCTCGCCGATGTTCTTCCTTCTCTCTCATTACCAGCGGTAATTAATTGCTCTTCTTGTCTTTTCCCAGCGGAGCATTGCTCTCATGCGTACTCAAGTGAGCACCGTCGGTGGACTCAACCTTATGTTTCTTGAGTAACTTTCTAGCGTCCTGGTGAGTTTCCACGTTGCCTTTGGCAGAAGCTTTCTGCTCGGACACGTGTGCCTTGTGTGTCGACGACGTGGTAGATTTCTCACCGGCTTGACCGTGTCTCTGGTTTTCCACGTTTTTCTGCGAGGTCGCGGTGGTACCGTGGTGCGCTTGCTGCGTGTTCGCTGAAACACCTGCTGAAATCTCTTCTTTCTTGCTGCCACGCGACATCTTGCTGCCGACTGTGATGATCGCGTGTTCATTGTCGCAACGCGCGTCGCTCTTTCCAGCTCTTTCCACATCTCCGGACTGACTGCCGCTCGTCGACTGCTTCTCGCTCTTCTCACCAATCTCCTTCGATGTGTAGTCGTCACCCTTGCTGCCGGTCGGCGAGTCCTTCTCCTCGGCTATACGCGGCAGTTGCGTGCCCGCGCAGGAATTCGACATGCTCACGTTCCCTAAATTAATGGATATACCGTGCGTCAGTTTGGAATAATCCGCTTTCTGTTCGCTTGGCACTTTCTTCTCACTCTTCGTGTCACCGGCCTCCTTGAAACCATCACCGGCTTCGTCCGACGTTTCGCTGTGGGACGATTGTGCGATAGTTACACGAGGTGTTACCTTCACTACGGTGTTCGCCAACGGCGATATCGACGTTTTGTTCTCCGCCGAGCGCGGGTGTAACCGGTCGGGACTGAGAGCTCGGCGGAGCAATGGCGAGCCCGGCTCCGCGGACTTAGGACGGCCGTATCCTTTCTTCTGGCTGTTCGGCGTCGACAAGCACACACCTAGACAACAAGATGGCATCGTGAACATAATTATAGAGAGCGCAGTTTTGAGAAGAATTGCTGTTAATTTTTTTCAAATTTTCTTCGTGTAGATAATGTAACTATATTAAATATTATTCTATAACGCGCATGTCTTTATTTTCCTTTACAGTCGTACCTGGACTATACGACTGTGTAGTATTAGAGCTGCCAGGTTGATGACCTGTGGGGAACGCCAAAGGGCTCGGACTTCTCGTCGGACTGGCGGGGATCGGCGATGGGCTCGGTGTCCTAGCCAACGGCGACAACGGTATGTGGCCCACGGACTTCCTGCGATTCGGCGAATGGATGTTTTTCGCGGCTGTGTGTAACTTGTGCTTCAAACCGTGCAGCGTGCTCGGACGTTGGTAGTGCGATTGGTTCGAGATGCCGCTGAGGTTTCCCGCCGAAGTGTTCGAGCCCGGTGACGAGGAGTTCGGGCTCGAGCACGGACTCGAATTCCCAGTGGAGTGATAAGAGTCCGAGCTGGCGCGATTTGTCGGCGGGGACGGACTACAAACAGATTTCGTGCATGCCGCGAAGTAAGGTGATGTCTCCTGCGAGCGGGTGAACGACTGAAACGACCGGCTAGGCGTGACCATCGAGGGCGAGCATATTCCGGCGGCCATCTGAAAAAGTTTGAAGAATGCTCCCGATCAATAGCGAAATTCGCGACTCATAGTGTCGCGCATCGTTTTTGTGATATCTCGGTCGATTAAATCCACTCCGTCGACTAGAATTGAAAAACATTTAACGACAACTGGCGACTGTGTAGGTGTTGTTCTTGTTTGAAATTTACACACCGGTTTGACGTTTCGTTTGCAGAGTGTAGCACATTCGAAAGCTATGTAATGATCGTAGAAGGAACATACGTTGCTCAACGAAACGACGCAACAAAACTCATGTCAGCGGCAACCGATAAAAGAGAAAGACGAACGAATAAATGTATAAGAAATCATACCATAAGTGGAGGTTTGCTGTCGCTGGGCAAAATGGGTGCTGACAATGGACAACTGATAGTTAATGGCTGCAAAAGAAAATGCGCTTAACGTAATCAGTGTATGCTGGTGCCTTATAAGCTTATTTTGTCTCTCGTTTCCTCAGTGTAGAGAAGAACAAATGTGACTGTCGTGTGCACAATTTGCCGTTTGAAATTATTAACATCGAAGATATCATACAGAACACAACCGTATAAGTAAATGCCCGTGTGGACGCGGTCAATCTTCGTTTTAAATTATATTTTCTTATGATCATTTACTTATATTTGATAAATTACTTATATTCGATTGTGTTTGTACATGAAATTGTCGTGAAATTCACATATTGTGAACAACAAAGCACATGGCAATTAATTGCGCAACATTAAGAGTGTTACTGAAATATACAGATAATCGCGAAACGACGATTTGCACTTAGCAGATCGTTGCTCGAAGGTATGAGCAACATTGCCCGTTTACCTGCTGCATCTCCACACTCGCGCGCTTCGAACTAATCCGCTTGAATAGCGACGTCTTGCGCTTCTTGTCCGAGTGATCCCGTTTCTGCTTCCGTTGCTTGTGTAACGTCCGACGCGCCAGTTTACTTTGTGTGAGATCCCGTTTTCTACCGCCGGTCTTGATGCTGGTATTCTCCAAAGGCGTGCTACGCAACGTCACGTGATCGCCGCCACTCAGCAACAACTTCAAGACCTCGGTGTGACTTAAACCCTGCACTAGCTCGTCGTTTATGTGCGTTATCAAATCACGCGGCCTCAAACCTGCCTCGAACGCTGGGCTGGACTGGTTGACCGCCTGTAATAGGGAGAAATATTCACGTAAAATCAGTGTATCTTATTTGAATGTATCCATGAATAATATCCAATGTAACCTTGCACTTACCATCACTAGATGATGCATGGTATATAAGTCACTGTCGCCATAGTAAACTCTAATGGTGTGCACGGTGAAGCCAAAGCCGCATGGTCCACGTCGGATAATAATGGGCGGTTTCAGATTGTTCACCAGAGGACTCAGCTCACGGCAGGGAGAAGTGTCCCTCGAAGACGCGGTTGAGGAACCACCCGGTGACTCGATGGGTTGAGCATTCAGCGACGCGTCATCTGAAAATATGCACTCATAAAAATACGTCTCTCGTGTGAGAATTAATCTCAAGCTGCATTTCTCCGCAGGTACATACAGGGAAAGTCGCTGGCTGGGATAACCAGTGATAGTCCGCTGGTCGACGCGGATTTGATGACGGATCTGGACTTCTGTCTGGCGGACGGTAACATGGGTATAGCGCTGAAGGACTCGAAGGAGTCGGTACTGGAGTTGTGCTTGCTCTCTTCCGTCGCGTCCTTGTTCGCTGCTGCTGCTAGGTCCAATCTGCAAATGACGGAATTGTCATTGCGCGATACTGTCGATATTCGCGATATCCCGAGCGTTCGCGAGTATACACGATGAATCGCGAATATATGCACACCGCTCACCGTACGTGAGGGTTGAATGCAAAATAGCTGTAGCTATTTGTAACTGTCTTGACATTACTGGATAAACAATTGTTAAATGTTGATGTATGCGCGTAGGTAAAATAAAAAGAAATATGTGCAAATTAACGTGAAGGTAGAAATACGTAATGAATCAAAAGTGAAGAATGTAAAAGTCAATTAAAATTAAAATTGTAGTGTCATGAGGATGTGGTGGAATGACTCACATGTGTTCATCATCAACGGATATACTGAACCTGGGCAGCTTGTCACGGGAGTGCGTGTGCCGTTTTCTCTGGATCTGCGGGCTAATGTCCTCGGACTCGGTTTGCGAGGAATCGGGCGTGCTCAGGTTAATCGACATTCCTTCCATCTGGGCATTCTTGACGATCGTCAGCTGAGATTCGTTGCTCGAGATCGTGGTTGACGCGTTTGATTTGTCGGTTCTGTTTTGATTCTCGGTGCAGGAACTGTTCTTCATCGACGAGAGTGTCCGGTGCTTCTCGTCGGCCAGTTTGGATGGCGGCGTGACAGACGACACGTTAGAACCGAGCGACAACTGAGCCACCGTGCGTTCCAATTCGTAACGGAACAACTGTTTCTTCGTAGCGTCCGATTCCACGTCTGGATTCAACTGAGGTGGTCGCGTTTGGGAGATTTTGCGCGATTGAGGCGAGTACGACGAGAACGATCCGAATAAGGGAGAATCGTCGGTGTCGTCTGTGTCGTCGCCTAAATCGTGGTTATATCTGTCCATACGAGCTAAAACATTATAGGCGTTCTATAGTGAAACAATGATAATACAGAAAAATCAATCAGCAAGAGATTCTGACAATTAGCACATATGTCAGTTGATACTTTAAACTTACTATCGAAATAGCTTGTATCTTCGTCGTTAACTAATTGTGGCACGAACTCAGCTTTCTGCCTAAGTAGACTGTTCCAGTTTACTCCATAAAAATACGGATGTTCCTTAACTTCGTGCGACCCGCCAGTTCCCAAACGATCTCTAGGACTTTGATGAAGAAGAACTGTTATGATATCCTTAGCCTCAGGTTGAACAGGCCAGTCATCCTCGTCCGGCCATTCGATGTCGTCTAAAAGATGGAATTTCATTATCCATTACGATACTTAAAAGACAATTTCGTAAGTAAAGCTATTATAACAAAAAAGAATTACCATTCACTGTGTGAGCAAATAATTCCTCGGGCGTCTCACCGAAAAACGGAACACAACCGATCAGAAATTCGTACAATATGATACCCATGGACCACCAGTCGACTGGTTTACCGTAACCCTGGCGTAATATGACCTCCGGGGCAATGTATTCCGGTGTACCGAATACTTGCTTGTCCGAGAACTGTCGTGTATCTCGGTCGATGTATCCCTCGTAAAGGTTTGTCGCCACTTGAAATCACATGTAATTGAAAGTTAACTCATAAATTCGCTCTCGCTCGTACAATTCAGACGCTCCTCATACTTACAAGACATTAGACCCATTTTACTGAGGCCGAAGTCAGTAAGCTTGATGTGTCCCAGGGCAGTGATAAGTAAACTATAAAAAGGAGAAAAATTAATAATTACACATGTTACTATATTTAATACATAGACTGTGCATGCATCAAATTTTTCTTTAATATAATCTCACTTGTCAGGCTTCAAATCCCGATGTACGATGCCGTAACTGTGTAAATATTCAACAGCCAGGACAGTTTCAGCGAAATAAAATCTTGCCATATCTGGTGGCAGTGGACCGATATTTTTCAAAAGATTTGCACAATCACCACCTTCTACATACTCCATTACTAGGCATAAATGTTTCTGGAAACACACAATTTCTTATGATATTCGGTACATTTATGTACTACGAGTTTCGTTGGACAGGAAAAATTCGTAACATGTGCGCGTACCTTGGTTTCAAAACTACAATACATAGACACTACAAATGGATTATCTGTGAAGCTCATTATATCCCTTTCAGCAAACACTTGTTCTACTTGATTTCGCAGCATTAAGTTATTCTTATTGATTTTCTTCATGGCGAATCTTTGTCGCGTAGTCTTTTCTTTGACTAAATACACTGCACCATAGGCGCCGTTGCTGATAAGCTTCAGTACTTCGTAGTCATTCTCACATGGAATTCGCTGACTCTTGTCGTCGTCTTTATTTGGACTTGATGTAAGTTGCAGATTGCTGTCGCTCGAACTCGCCGAATCCTCTAATTTGTTCAAGTCTTCTTGCAACTCTGAAGAAATTTCAACATGCATCTTACTAATAACATAATTTTGTAAAGTATTGTGGTTTAGAATGAACGTGAAATATATATACCTGATATTGGATCTCTGCTTAAAGAGAGCTTTGTAATAATATATTGTGGAATATCAGTTTTTATTCCCGCATTAATTTTAGCTTGACCCTCAGCTTGCTCGAGTAAATGGTAGAATTCCTCGGGATCGAATTCCAAGCACTCTAATAGACGAGCTGGACGCGATATAACTAATAAAAGTTTCCTTATCAGCCCTGTCAGTCTAGTTGCGGCTTCTAAAGATTTATCTTTCGTCTGTGGAAAAAAAAATACGATAATTATCTCGCACGTGTTAGAAAATAATATAATCCGTATGTATAGGCGCATGTACATTAAGCGCCAGTTAATCATTTAAGCTGTAATATATACACACTTCCATCAATAGATGTTCCAAGTTTTCGCTCATCTCGTAAAAGTATCTCGTTGTAATTAATTTTTCCTGAGATTTTTGTAAGCAGTCTCTGGCCATTTCGATTACTTGATGATGAACAAAGCGTAAAATTGGTAATGAATCCTGTGTCATATGTGCCACTACTTCGTATTCATCTATCTCCTTGTTCTCATTAATGAAATTGGTCAGTCGCTCTTCCATTTGTTGCGTTGCCTAAATATAATCGATCTTTAAAATATAATCTGCTTCTTTTCATTAAAAATTATTCAATTAAAGAACAATTGTACCTTTGGAAATCTTTCCTTATACAAAGTATTCATCATAACAATCTCACTGTCAAGGACAGGTGATCGGCTCGGGCTGCTGCAATAAAAGTAATACGCAAGTAATATTCCCATCGGTATTAATGGCGATTTAATTTTAGCGAACTCAGTGACGTCATTCGAGTGATATACCTCAGACTATGCGAACGTGGACGATGTAACGGCGATCGACGACCCTCTTCTTCAAGACTAAGCGACACGCTACCCGGAATACTAGATATGCTAGAACCTGGAAAGCCCGGATGTGAAGAGCATGGTGTCCCAGGCTTTGAAAAGTGGCAAGATAACATACGCAACTCGTCCTTGGTGGGAACATTTGGCAGTTGATGCAAACGTTCTTGGCTCGAGTATTGTGACTGAATACAAATCACAAATTACAATCATGGTTAGTGTGGACAAGCGCTCGGCATACCAATCTACTTACCGAAACGTTACTGGAACCAGGCGTTGTTCCATAACCGCTGGACGGTAAACTGGCGACAGACCATCGTCTGCCATCACCAGTTCCTGCAGCACTCCCGCCGATTCTTCAATGTCGTAATAACACATTCCATTAGTGGCAACTCATCGAGTAATACAGATTAATAAATCATGAAACGTTAGAATACAATCACGCTAAGCATCCCGATGTTTGTATTAAGTCAAAAACTTACAGGCGTCTCTTGATCAGACTTTTACTTTTCGTGGACTTTGCATAGAATAGTTTTCGTATCACCATTTTTTTTTCCTATTTATAACGCGCGCAAGATATAACGTTTAATGACGACACCTTACCTACTTGAGCAATCAAATCGGACTAATTAAAATCTTCTAAGAGAAGAAGTAAGTGTAAAATAGGTACCTTTTAATTGGAGCAAAAGCAAAGTGTGGACTAGATGACATCCTAGGACTCTCTAGGGGACTGCCTACGATCGGGACGAATGCTATATCAGGAAACAAGCAGTAGAAAAATTAATCTGCTATTATCGATAAATAATCAGGTAAACAATATAAAAACTTGTTATACTAAGCAAAATTTATATCAGGAGAAAGTAAATGAGAGAGAGAGAGAGAGAGAGAGAGAGAGAGAGAGAGAGAGAGAGAGAGAGAGAGAGAAATACAGATCCTAATCAAATACAAATACTAATCCTTTGTGGATTCTATATAAGGATACAAGTATATAAAAATTCTAGATCTAACAAGTATTAAAACAAATGTATACTGTGTATGTGTACAAGATATTGTGATAAATATATTTCAATTTTCAAACTTGATTAGAATAGCAGCCTTAAAAATAATTGAAAGTAATCGCACAGGCAAAATAAAAGTTACATACCTGACAAAGGTGAATGGCAACGTGGTAAAGTAGGTGATGTAGTGGCAATGAAGGATTTACGATGAACCGCTTTGGCGGTACGACGAGGAATGTTAAAATCACGCTGGAAAAGAATGACAGTGCATTATTAACAAATACAAAAGTGAGCTACCACAATGTGCACAATTGATCAAGATATACTGACCACATGAACAGATAAAGAAGGAGCTGATTTTCCAATTGCAGAATTTCTCATACGAACTAGATTTGATAACTCTCCACTCACTAAAAGCATACATAATCATTGTGTGACATTTCGTACATATAATCAAGCAATGTTTATAATCAACAGAATGTTTGATAAAGATATAAAATATATGATACAAATCAGAGAGAAATTTTATTAACCAGGTCGAACTGGAGCCTCCTTGCTCTCCATTTTGGGCAGGTTTGGATGTTTATGTGTTTCGGTCTCCACATTGCAGGCAGTCTCTTCAGTTTCGTTTTCAAACACGAGCACTCTAGCAGAGTTGCCGTGTGAACGTAGTCGTGGCCTACTCGGCCTGTTTCTTGACTGATCCATTATCTCAGTTACTGCGTCTTTATTCGGTGAGTGAAACGACTAAGAATAAATAGAGATTTAATTCATAACAATTAGGATAATCCTAGACATTTGTGTATAAACAGATCCATTCGTTCTATCTCCTTGTCTCATTTGTTTTGTAAAGCCTTGACATGTCTACCTTGTTTCAAATGTAGGAAGATTGAAAGAGACACAATCAAGTCAAAGAAGCTAAAGCTTCTTTCTTTCTGACACTATTTGTCTACTAAAACAAATGCACGATACTTCTGATTCACATAAAGACACAACTAGACAAGATAAACAATTGCACTTACAAAACACACCTTTCAGGATCCTCAGTAAGGAAGGAGGAACTCAAACGAATACAGGACACCACCTAGTGCGATCACGAGACTTTTGATTTCCGACTCTCCTACGCTTTCAGCACATCCAACACAATCTCTTCCCATCATCGTCACGGAGTCCCACTGGTATCAACATTCTCTGGCTCACTCGGCGAAGATGCATCACGTTCCAGAACTGTCGAAGGTACATGCGGAAGAGCGCGACGACTCGAATGAGCGCGCCGACGAAGCGATCGAAGCAAGCCGAATAGCCGCGGGAGTCCCACGGAAACGTGTGACAGATCCCACGAACAAGGAGTGTACAAAGATCGGTGGGACGAGATGAGATGAAACGAGACGAGACGAAACGTGACGGGCGAGGTAAGATGAATCAAGGAAGAGGCACGCACGACACTAAGTGTACGCAGCAGCAGCGGTGGCAACGACGGCGACCACGACCACGACGACGATGATGATCGAAGGGATGCGATTACCGGTCGCCAGAGCCATCTTCCTAGCAGGATCAGGAGCGTCCCCGGGATGCGAGCGAACTCGTCGTGTACTCCTTGAGAGCTACAGCGACATTTTCCCGTCGTCGGCGCGAGGCGGATTAATTATGAGACACAACGAGGTGACCATGGGTTCCGTGACTCATGACGGACGTATACACGCACGCACGTACACACAGCCGCGTCGCGCGTATACACAATATACGCGTTACCTATGCGCGACCTCCCCGACCGACAGTAGCGTATGCATGCGCGCGCACGCACACAACCGCAAGCACACACTCACGAGTCCGCGAATGGAAAAGCGAGCACGCCGCACGCCCGCCATTCGCCAGTTCGGCGAGCCCTTACCTTATAGTGTGGGACCGACGGTTTAGTATATGTGTGTGCGTGATGTAGGTGTGGGTGTGCGTCTCGCGAGCGTGTGTAATAGCGTCAATGAGATCCCTCGACGCTACGCCATTTTACACCTTTCGGAAGTCTCTCGGGGGATCCACGAGAGACGCCTGTTCTCTCCTCATTTGCACTACATTACACCCCTCGCACTTGGGATTAAGTAAATATATAACGGGAGAAAGAGAGAAGAAGGTAAAAGTTTTGCGGGGAAACGCAAAGAAAGAGCGGGCTGAGATAACGACCGTGTGAGAGTATCGACCCCGTCTCGTGGGGAAGGAGGAAGGGAGAGAGAGAGAGAGAGATGGAGAAAGGAAATGTGTTCGCACGAATTAATTTGAATTAGCTTGTTCATTTCGATACATCCTGCACGCTGACTGAAGGGACCATGGTCAAGGATCTTTGATTATTTGTAATAATAATAGAAATTGTAATAAAAACTTTTCCACTTACAACGTATGTGATTTAATGCAAACAGAAATTTCTTTTCCGTTAATTTTAAGAAATATTCGGAAGCTTTTGAGTCCAGTCGCCTCGGTGGAGCATTCTTCCGCATTTCTCACGTTTGAAATAATAAATAAGCGTAATTGACTCCTCAAAAGCCAAAGATCAGATGCAGAAAGTACAGCTCAGGCGAGCGGACCTTACAAGAGCGCGAGAAATCGATAACGATGTAAAACGCGCGACAAATCGGCGAACGATAATTCCTGTGAACGATAATTAGTTTAATTGATGGGTTGGGCATCGCAGTTGGTAGTTACATAAGCACGGGCATTTTGCATGGGTGTGTCGATCGATCCGATGGAGCGAATCAATGGGGCAACTGCTTTGTGACATGCCCATTTTTTGACACTTGTCGGCGATCAGCTGACAAATAGACAGCTGGGGTACACCCCTCTCTTTTTCTCTTTCTCTCTTTCTTTCTCTCTCTTCCTCTCTCTCTTTCTCTCTTTCTCTCTTAATCCTGATTCCAGACATCTAATAAGACAAATTCCCTGACGCTACCGTTCGTAGCTGAAGTAACCCCTTTCTTCAACCTCAACTTCAAAACCTCAACCTCAAGTCAATATTGACTTCAGGCTCCCTAGGAATTCCGCCCCAACGCCATTACAATAAAAAAAAATATAACTCTCTCTCTCTCTCTCTCTCTCTCTCTCTCTCCTCTCTCTCTCTCAGTATTGGTTTCAGCTAATCCTATGATTTTCCCCCAACACCATTCTAGCAAAATGTAACCCCTTTCCGAAAACATTAGTCGATTATCGATCTTTCGTCTCGATCGAGATCTCGATCGAGACGAGAGATCGATAATGACTGATCGAATAACTTGCTTCGAGATTTCTCGATAATCATAAAGAAATGAACAAACCGAGATGAATCGAAGACGCGCTCGGTAAAAATGTATATTCCATAAAATACGGGATAATAGCTAGTCTCAATTGCGGATCGGTGAAGAAGCGAGTCTTCCGCGTCGTTGTTCCGCCGGAACACTCACCATTTTCTTATTCGAAGCACGAGCACGTCGCTTCCAGATGCAGATCTAGCGAGTGCTACTTGAGACAGAAAGAGAGAGAGAGAAGGAGAGTGAGCGCAAGAGAAAAGAGCAGGCTTGGCGATCTCGTTTAGCCTCATTGCGGCACTCAGCTGTTTCGTGTCAGGTGACTTTGACGTTCTTATCTGCTTCTAGATTAAACGGGAATCATCCGTTACGCACATATAGGTGGCATATATCGCGTATATATATACGCATCACACGCTGGATACACGCGCGGAAGAGAGAGACGCACCAAGGAAAGCCCACGGTGAGGGAGGGAGGGAAAGAGAAAGAGAGAGTGAGAGAGCGGGAGAGATAGACGGAGAGAAAGAGAGAGAGAAAGAGAAAGAAGAGTGGAAGTGAGAGAAAGAGACGTGATGCGCTCTCGCATGCTCGCGCGTCCACTCGCTGTCGCATTTAACCGGCCGAACAATCATTTTTAGAGTCCTCCCCCGACAGCCACACACCCTTCAAGAGAATTACGCGCGCGAAACGGGCGCATAAATGCATATCTCTTGATAATCAAGACGCCAAAGGTGGGTTGCTAGAAGAGAACGATTTCGTGGAATTACCGTGTACTAACCATCGTCGCCGTCGTCGTCATGATACACTCGTCGCGCATCTGTACGCCAGAATTGTTTACGAAATCGAGATCGCGCGCGTCCAGTGAAAGCCCGACGTGAGCTCCTTGAACAACTCGTGAAAATGATCTCCGCAAACACAAATCGCGCGGATGCCAATGTGCGTGAGATTTGAAACATGTCGCTGGCAATTCAATTGACGTCGAACGCACGCTAGCTTTTCACTCTCGACCCTTTCTCATATACGCAGTGCGTCTTGTCGTGGATCACACGTTCGTTTCTTCGTATCTCTGTACAACTTTATTACGTTCTATTTGATGACTCTACGCGAAGTCTTTGCGACGAAGTTTTTGGCTGTGCAATTTACTCGTGCAATTTCACTGTTATTGCTAAAGTAATTGCAGTATCTGTGATGTATGTTCATTACACTAAGGAAAAAATACTTGAAAATTTGCCTGTGGGATATAAAATTTATTTCTGTGAGATAAACTTTTATCCTACATATACAATTTTCAAGTATTTCTGCTCAGCATAGAAATTTTTACATTGAAAAAAGATACTATATTATTAACAACGAAGTTTATCACTGTGAAGTAAAATTTACTTGTATAAAAAATAAATTTCAATCACAAATAAATTTTCAAGTATTTTTTTCTTAATGTAACACTTATTATATTGGACAAGAATACTTGAAAATTTATTTGTATAATATAAAGTTTGTTCCTGTGAAATAAGCTTCAACACAGAAATAAACTTCATATACCACAAATAAATTTTCAAGTATTTTTCATTCGATGTAACATTTAATTGTTTCTAGGAATAGTACTCAAGCACAATGTGATAAAATGTGATGTAAAGGTATTTCTATGTAGATGTCGAGCAGTGAAATGGACTACTCGGATTCAGACTGTGCTGATCCAGGTTATGAGGACTATTACAATGTTCAGCCATGGGGCAGTGACGTGGATAACGACGTGGATCCTGAACAAAATAGAAGAGACCCTGAATATGCGGTGTATGACTGTCTGCGGGTCGATGAAGTGGAACGGCTCTTGAACGAAAATGTTGAGGTGTTAAGTACTAGCCTTCATGTAACACCATCCCTAGCCAAAGTGTTGTTACACGCGCACAATTGGGCGTTACCAGATATTGTCACAAAGTACCGTACCAATGCTTCCAGCTTATTGATTAGTTCAAAGATTAAACCGTCGACTACGCCGGAACAAGTGCCAGTATCGAAATGTCAGAGGGGCGGTGTATGCTCGGTTTGTGTTATGATCTTTCCTGCAGATAGGTTTTCTACTCTTACTTGTGGACACTCATTTTGCAAAGACTGCTGGTGTATGCATTTTGAAGTACAAATAATGCAAGGTATATCTACAGGTGAGTAATAATTCTATTCTGTTATCATTTCAGTTATTAAGGTAAAAGTACCAATGTCTAAACGTATGCAGCAGGTTGCGCAACAGTTTAGGTACAATCAAGTTGGGAGCTCATCAAACTGTTGAGAATCATTACTGTGATGGACTTATGTAATAATAATATAATTATTGGCCTGTTGATAATGACTTTTAATTTTGATAGTCTGGTGAGCTTCCAACTTTATTGTGCAACCCAGTGCACCTAACTCTGGACATTCTTATTATTTTGGTTTTTTAATTGTGAATATTTAAACTTTCAGAACATATATATGTATATATTTAATACATGTGTATGTATATTCTCTATGTTGAAAATCCAAATATTACCCAGAAAACACCAAGTAACAGTAACATTATATCAGTATTACAATTTGACAATGCAACTGTCATTCGATAATTATAACAACGTATTGCATTTATATTATCGAGTAGGAAATTATAATACTGATGTTATATTACTGATAGTTGTTTACTGAGTCGCGTTTAAAGACCAAAACAATAAGAATGCCCAGAGTTAGGTCACGTGTTCAAGCATTGGCACTTTTACCTTGCCATTCTGAAAATTTTCATTCATCGCTCTCTTCTTTTTCTCTCTACCTTTCCACATAGGCATAAGTTGCATGGCACATGACTGTGACGTCTTAACTCCAGAGGACTTTGTCCTTTCCATACTCACGAAGCCTAACATGAGAGAGAGGTATCAGCAGTTTGCGTTCTGTGATTACGTCAAGTCTCACCCGCAACTTCGTTTCTGCCCTGGCCCGAATTGCCAAATAGTTTTGCGCTCGAAGGAACAACGAGCGAAGAGAGTCATGTGTTCATCGTGTAAAACTATATTCTGGTAAACGAACTTGGCATTGTATCAAATCGTGTATCTATGCATTTATGCAGCAACATAAAAAAACGATATCGTTGCTTCAGCTTCCGATGTGGTATGGATTACCATGCACCTACTGATTGCGGTACAATCAAAAAGTGGTTGACGAAATGCGCGGATGACTCTGAAACCGCTAATTACATTAGCGCCCATACCAAAGATGTATGTACTTATTGTTCAAAGGCAACTTATGGACTTACGGAACACTTGACGGATCATTGTTTCTTCTTTTTGCAGTGTCCAAAATGTCATATTTGCATAGAAAAGAATGGCGGTTGTAATCATATGCAATGTTACAATTGCAAGCACGATTTCTGTTGGATGTGCCTTGGGGACTGGAAAACACACGGTAGTGAGTATTACGAATGTTCCCGATATAAGGAAAATCCTAACATTGCTCACGAAAGCGTTCATGCGCAAGCGAGAGAAGCCCTTAAGAAGTATCTTCATTATTACGAGAGAGTAAGTTCTTTTGTCCTCACTAAATATTTTCACTGCTTCGAGAGAAGAAGAGTTTACTTTTCTTTTCCTCTTTTCTTTTTCTTGTATATTTTGCGTGACGCAAGAAGGAAGTCGACAAGAGTAGTCCTTCATTTTAATGAGACGTACGTCTCGTTTGTATGAGTGAATCGTAAATATCCTTCCTCTGATTACATTCGTTACGTTCTCTTATAGTGGGAAAACCATAGTAAATCGTTAAAATTAGAAGAGCAAACGTTGGAAGGTATCAAAATGAGGATCAATAAAAAAGTAATGAATGCTAGTGGTACTTGGATAGACTGGCAACACTTATTTGAGGCTGCGTCACTTCTAGCACGTTGCCGTTACACTTTACAATACACGTATCCGTATGCGTACTACATGGAACCTGGACCTCGTAAAGAACTGGTAAAATCCCGTTTAATGACATTATATACAAGTATGACAAGATATACGATGAAGACTACTGAGAATCTCTGTATACCAGTTCGAGTACCAGCAGGCTCAGTTAGAAGCGGAGATCGAGAATCTTTCGTGGAAGATCGAGCGAGCGGAGACGACAGACCGAGGTGACCTGGAGAATCAGATGGACATCGCCGAGAAGCGTCGCGTCACATTGCTGAAGGATTTCCTCGAAGTATAATTTTGAGGTTAAACTTCCAGAGTTACTCGACGATATTTCTTCTCATTGTCACAAAATATGTAAAATCTTACGCCTCTTTCTTTACAAGAATGGATTAAGAATGGATGTCCGATGTGTTCCAGCGTAATAATTTTAATGATTAATCGAATTGATTCTTCTTATATTCGAGATATTTGCTAAACGCAAGAAACTTCATAGAATGAGTTTGAAATAAGAAAAAAGAAAAATATTAGAATATGGGAAAAAATTGTTATATACGATATTAATTAATTTTTTTTTCGATATGAAAGAATTATTGCGAGAGCTAGAATCCAGATCGAATCCAGATTCGAAACGGGCCGGTCCTCTGGTCACAGAAAACTGCTAGAATATCGATTGTAAAACGCTAGTTCGGGCAAACCGAAACGAAGCCTCGTGTATATTCGGCGTTTGTCTGCAGCTATCATTATATATACACAATGAGTGTACAGTTCACAGTGTACCGAAAAAATTTATAAATGGAAAAGATGACGACCAGTTTGCTTATTCTGTAATTTTTAACGAGCTGCTGGTCAGCATATGTGTCAGAACATGCGAAATCATACATTATGTATTTCTAGTTTAACGCACGCATTACAATTATAACGTAAACGTTAGAAGATTACAGGATAGGCCCGCAGGACTCGATCGCGTGAAGATAGGAGTCCTATTCTCGTCTATAATTTCGTCTGAGTATTATTGATCGAGGGGACAAACATAGCGATGTCATGTGTTCTGAATTGTGGCTGCTGAGTATAAAACCTGAGAGGAAAAGGAGATAATGTATATTGAAGTTTAAATTTATTTAAATTCTCGGGAATATTACTCGGCACAGACGAGATCCAGGTGACAAAAGTATTAATTGTATCGACTGATTTAAGCGAGAATTCGACGGCATTGAGCATACGATATCTTGTTCTTTACTTTGATTTTTCGAAGCGTTCTCAAAGATGCGCCACGGCGGCGGCACGCTTCTTCTTTTTTTGAATTTATATTTTGTTGAAATACAAAATTGGTGGGACTACATTAAAATAATAGCAAAGAAATAGAAAGAAGTTTCCTGTCTATACAATCACGTGTGACAACTCGACGAATCGTTGCACGTGATTGTATAGACAGGAAATTTTTTTCCATTTCGTCTATTTTTTGCATAGTTCTATCACAGATGTTTTATCGATCTACCGACGCTGACCGCACAGTTCGATAAAAGATGCGACGAGAACGACGACGATGAGGCACGAGAAGTGTGATCCTCGTGTCCCACGCGCGAGAGCGTACCGACGAATTGACTCGATCATATTTTTCTTCACCGCTGTTCTTTTTTCCCGAATCTTCTTCGAAGTATTGTTTATATTTAAACACGTACACCACACACATACACACACGCAGTGATCATCCGAAGAAGAAAGAAACGATAGCCTAATTAAGTACTCCGGTGCCAAGAGACGGTACCACCCCCGCCGTGTACATACTAAATGGATTTAACGTTTTACTAAGGCAAAAAGAAGAGGAAAGAAACAAACAAGTGAACAGAAGAGAACGCGACCTTTTTCTATAAATTAGATCTTAAGAGGTATATGCAACGATCAAAGACATCCGCGACACACCTAGCCATAATACCAACTTACATTTTATAAGCTATCGCAGCAAAGAAAGATGAAGATGGAGAAGTGTGAGTCACGCGTTGTAAACCGGCGGGAGACTGCTTTTTTTTCTTCGCGACGCGAGAGAGGGTGAAGAAGTGTATGGATGTTCATCGAAGGGTCCGAGGTAAAATCGGTTCAGCAAAATCGGTTGCAACAAAATCGATGTAATGTCTAACGTGTTGACAAGGAACAAAAAAAATAAACGCTCTTTACTACAAAACTGCGCGTGGATAATTAAAACGGTAACGACGACGATTTTTATCGAGTACGAAGCAAGCAATCGAAAGCGGAGACTCCTCCGATTAACTCTTTCCTGCCTGCCCCCGTGTACCTTCTCAATGCACAATGAGAAGCGATCGCTACTGTATGTAACGAATATCGAAGTATTTGTAAATTAATACTAATAATAACGAGTATACAATTCAGACGAAGTATCTCTCTTTGTTTCAGTTCTCTCGCATCTTTCGCGAAATCTCTTATCGAAGACAATTTACTTTCTCTCACGTGCCACGGTTGCTGAATTCTGTCTGTTAAGAGTGAAAACATCCTCTCAAGACTCGTATGTCGCTATAAATTAACACCTAAAGTACCTTTGCATTTGCGGAACAGCGTGAACAAAACTGCACGAAATACGGTCGAAGAGAATCGCACCGTGAACATTATTAATCAACAGTTAACCATTTATTTCTAATTACATGACATGATTAACATACATTCTTCAAGGGAATAGAATAAAACGACAGAGTCGCGTTGGTGCTTCCTCTTTTCAGTAACTAAGTAGTATCTTCGCAATAGATCTAGAATAATCTGATTGATCGAATTTCATTAAATAGATCCAACAGAATTTGTATCCTATATAGTTAGTCGCCATACAACAAAATGTTTCGACAAAAAAACATGTTTGTGGGGGTATACATCTAAATTGTCTAACAATTCATCATAGCATAATATTATATGTACCGAATTTTACGTTTCAAGAAGTATATTCAGTCTAACGATTAGTCAATAATATATCGTAAGAAATCGGGTTTCCTGCACTAAGACTAGAGTTTTCGTATCAGGTAAAAATGTCTCTCTTCGATATTAACTAAGTGACCGTATATATCCCGTATTATCATCGCACATTTAAATATATCGTATGACTGTACTATCTAAGCAATCGCGACCAATTGTTATTTAGTAACACAGACCATCATAATAGCCCTAATTCACCAGGTAGAGATTTACTAGAATTTTTACGATCGCATTATCGTATCCAGATATTTCTGCATTTAATTATTCGATGAAACAACAAAAGATATATCAAATATTATTTTTTTTATACGTGTGACTTTATGTTTCGTTTTACAAATATCACGATTTTTTAATGATAGCTACTGTATTGTCGTTTTATTGAACAATCATCAGGCATAATGCTCGAGTACGTAGACACGATGCGAGTAATTGAAAAATTCTAATTACTATTAAGTACCATTGTGCTGGTCTGTGTGTATCATATCCTGTATATAAATATGAGAATTAGATAGTTATGACAAACTCTAAACATACGATGAGAATACACATTTTGTATCTATTTGCACGTAAGTGCCTACATTATTTAATCGTTGCATAGAGAGGGGGGTGTTAATTGTAACTATTAGAATAATACAAAAAACAAAAATGGTAATGATCAATTCACACAATTATCGCGATGATCGCGTACAGATATCCTGCTCCCGAAGATATTGTTACATTACTAATCTTTCTATGTATTCGCAAGTTCATGCGAGGAACATAATTCAGCTTAATTTAAAGATTTCAGATAAGCCGCGTCGAACAATTCAAGTTCGTTTATGAGATAGTTGGCCTTATTTCGGAGAACCTTAGCTCTGGTCGCCGCTTCTTCCAATATCCGCAGAGTGTTCGCTATTGATTTAAGTTCGCTGTCCATCTCGGACGTTGCTTCGTCCACCAGATGACAGAGTCGCGCGAATGTGCTGGACAGTTCTCTGCATAATCACGTCATGCGTTATTATAAGAAGAAGAGAATGCATGATACAAGAAAGAAGAAATGACGTAAAGCTTGCGACAAACTCGGACTTATATCGTACATAAATATCGCAACTTACTGTTGCACTTGATGACTGCAGTTGGCAGAGGTAAGATCCACGATCAATCGCAACTTTTTCGTAGCGTGATCAACGTATTGTCGCTTGAATTCGCGTTCCTTCGCTTTGTTAGTCCACGTTAGACGTTCATAGAGATACAAAGTACCGTACATTGCACAAGTTATCACTATCAATCTCCAACCTATCGTTTTTAACAGCTGCAACAGAAGACGAAACAATTGATTTAAAGAGGGATTCTCTACACATAAAGAAAAATGAACGAACGTGGATTGTGATATACGTACAAAACCAGCAACAATAAGGCCACCTGTACCCTGCGACGTTACAGATGCAACAGCTATCTTACTAGCAAAGGACCAATCTTCGGGTCTCGGTGCAAAGTTTGCTGCGTTTGATATCAATTTCACAGAATCTATGCTATCCGCAGGTGACGCAATAATCGGTGGAATCTGTAAAAAAAAACAAAAAGACGCAATTGTATCGACGTCATGTGTTTACTTGCGTCCGTTTCGCTATTGAACCAGGCATCTCACCTCTTGAGGATAATTGGTGATCGCCAATTTGTGACTCTGCCTCCCCACAAATCTATTAATTATCGCCGTGAATCCCCAAGAGAAACGAAACTCTAAGTCCTCGTGAAAGTCCGCGCACAAATTGTCGCAATTCAATCGATATAGTATCTCGAACGGCTCTCGTCGCGGCAGGATGTTGAGCGACATTTGTTTTTTGTTCTCGGGCAGCAAGCCCGACATCCTGTCGGTCATTTCCCGCTGTGAAGTCTCCATATTCAGCGCCAAAGCGGTGCTGAGCCTAGCTCGTAAATTCGACCCTGGGACAGAGCGTGAAACATTCTCATCAACATCGCGGATAGTATATTCGTGTCAAATCGCAACGTAAATATGTAACTACAAGTCACCTAAACCGTTTTCCACGTGCGTGTGAAGTTCCCGCTTGTAAACGTTCAGAACCAGCGGCTCCGGATGAAACGGAACGCTGAATTCGTCCACTAGAACAGCTAATCGTCGAATTTCTTCGTTCAAGGCCTTCGACACTTTCTGCTCCACATCTTCCACCATGCGATGTATTTTATCCTTCATCTCCTGAGTCAACAGCATCAACTGTTGTTCCGTGAAGTTCAGTTTGTCGTTTACCTCTTTCTTGACGTTCAATTGCTCATTTCGCATCTTTTGTGTTCGCTCCAGTATCTCGTCTAACGCTTGACGTATTTCACTGCGACAAACCACAAAACCAAATTGGCTCGCGTGTTTGCGCATACAGAGATGTGATTGCAAGGACACGTAGGTCCGATTAAAAAGAAAAAATATAAAACAGCGTTTTCTTACGTAGCGATATGTTTACCACGTTGCGAGTGCTGTTCAAACTTGGTCTTTACGGCCGACTTCGAGATGCACTCTTCAAACTTTCTCTCAAAATCTTGAAATTCAAAGTACCGATTTTGAAAGCCCTCGAGCGCACCATCTGCAAACATAAAATCATATGAACCGAATGACTTTAAGTAAAAAAAAAATATATAAATATATAAATCGGAAAATATATAAATCGGAAAATATATAAAAAATATATAAATCGGAATATTACTGTGAGCAGGTTGTCCGCGTTGTTCTTGCATACGAGCCTGAAGAGTTTCCTTTGCGGAAATAAAGAAAACACGTTCTTCGGCATCTTTTGGACTGTATACTTTCAGCTCCTTCGATAAAAAGTCGATAGCACGTTCTTGATGTTGTGCTCTTACCTACACACAAGAAGCATACGAATAAGATTTCTATTGCACCTCATTAATCACGATGCGCACAATCGCGACAACAAGCACGTTGACAGAACTTTGCTGGCGTGAAGCTGTCGACACAAATAATAGACACAAATATAGAAATATTGTTGTTAAAGGTAACTTTGAAAATTCACAACTTAATGTGCAGAAAAATAAATTTTTCATTTCCCTGCTTCAATATTGTAAACTCATGCTGGATGGATTCACAATTTGGTGCATAACGTTTTTGTCGAGTGTGATGAATTCAGCTATTGAAAGCTATTGAAAGTGAACGCATATGACAAATTAAATGTAAGAAGGCGTTTTGTGTTCCCTATTCTTGTACTGTAACGTATATCAGACTTCTAAAACTCTGACGGCTCTCAATCCAATTCTACTTTGTACGAGAGCTAAACAAGGATAATCGGAAGCATCATTTCTGAATGAACAACAATCTCCATGACATGAATGAACTCACCTCCTTTTGTTCTTTGACCAGCTAAAGAATAAAGGAGATATTACTGAAATTCTCTTACATTATGATGCCACTATAAAGAATTCAACTTGCGAAATATAAACGCATAAAGTTAGCAATTTTAGTATTATATGCATATGTACATACATATACATGACAATCGTTGCAATTTCTTAATTTTCTATAATTAGTATCTCATAAATATATACCTGATCGAAATATTCCGCTTCTAAAACAGAAGCATCCCATCGATTATGAAGAATAAATATATTCGGTTTCGATAATCTCGTGGAAACTTTATGAAAAAAGTTCTTTTCCTGAAATAAAAAACAGAAAAATATAGAAATGTGGTTAACAAATCTTTCTCGCAAAATTTTGGTGGAAGGAAATGTCTGGTATATATTAAACTTACTGTAACCATCAAAGTAGATTCTGCATTTGCTACTAAAACAAAAACATCTGCATCCAAACAATGCTTATCGATCCATTCGTCGAGATTTGGAGTTACATCCACTCCTGGACTATCAACGAATACTACATCGTCCCGCAGTAATAAACACTTCTCCTTTGGCCAGAATATTCTTACTAGATGACTTTCACATAATTTTTCTTTGCAAAGTGCATGACCTAATTGTCCGACAGATTGCACCGGTTGTTTCTCGGTGGATCCTTCCGTGATGAGATACGACTCTCCATTGTCTGAGCCTTCGACTTGTAGAAAACAATTTGTAGTGTGCCCTATGCCACTGGGTAAAATTTTGTCATGTAGCATAGCATTGATCACAGTACTTTTCCCATTACTTGTTCTGTAATATACATACAAATTTAAATTTAATGTAATAATGTAAAATTGAACATCTTAAGTTTAATTAAATAATAATTTAGTTAGATATTTAATAGTTTAAGATTATCAATTATGTAAATTTCTAATCAAATATTATATATATATATATATATATATATATATATATATATATATATATCCCTTTCAATATAAAACCTATCTTACCTGCCAAAAAAAGCCACTTTCATATGATCCCTTCTGAGAACATCTTTTATTGCACGTACTTTGTCAATATAACCTTTGACTTTCACTGCTTCTTCAGCAGATACAATATTATGATCATTTTGTAATGCTGTAAAGTTAGCATTGATTAGGTAAACTGATATGCTGCATCAGATACTTTTACTCCTTTCTCTATTATACTATTTACTTACATGTCATAAATCCCACGGTGTCTTCCACATAATCTTCTATTTCCCCAAATATATCGTTTATTTTCTTTTTTGCCTTAACAAAGATCTGCAGAGGAGAATTATCAGTTCTAGCATCTGATGTTCGGTGTTGGCTGTCTCCTCCAATCATAGACATTGTACGATTGATATAGGCAGCCATATATTTTTTTTATGTTACTACTTTAAGTGTGATATACTTGGCAAAAAGAATAAAAAAGTACGGTGCAGTTTGGATAGACAGTACAGCAACATACACAGTGCACAGTATGCAGGGCCAACTGAAATCATAAAAAGCAGTAGTTAAATATTTTCTAACAACTAATTTGCATACATAGGTATATACATATATACTTACAAAGTATATACATACACAGGTATATACATACACAGGTATATACATATACATTTACAAGATTTCATCTATAAATGCATATATTATGAAAACCATTAATTATTGTAAAATGTTTCAAATTTTAATCATTCTTTATTTTAAAAGAATTTTGTAAACAAAATCTTATTCTAGGTAAATTTCTTCTCTTTTCCTATGATATGAAAGTTATTTATCCCTTTCTACATAAGAACACAAGTTTTCTCACAGTTTTATAATATATAAATATATAAGTTTTATAGTATATCATAATTTTTATAAAATATTTTCTCAGAACAGAATAACTTTTAACTAAAACATGTTTTTTTACTAGTCTCTGAAAAATATGCATTTATAAATAAAAATTGTTTCTCAAATCAAGTAAGAATGTAACAAGCAATACACAACATTAAACAACATGCGCAACCTTTTTATCTTTAGTCATTGATGACCCACAGAGTAAATTTATAATATAATTGTTTGGATTGCTCCTGTGCCCAAAATTGCTAAAACAATTTATAATATTGTTATTGTCATTGAAGATATAGCGAATTGTGATAAATTGATAAGAAAGAATATATACAATTTTAGATATTGCGTAAGAACGGGCGGACATTATTTTATAATGTATAGAATTTAAATCATTTTCAAAATTTCCCTCATGATAGAAAGCGCACTATTAACAATCAAGCTCGCGTATTTGTGCGTTTGCGTACGGTGGACAATGTAATTACACAGAATTTCTAAATTATATTCAGTACCGTCAATTCAGAAATATAACCTCAATTAATAGCAAAAAATGATCATCTAAACAATACGCATGAAATTTTACTAACCATTAGAACATTTTCACAGCGGTATATTCGTCATATCGTAAAGATAATTGCGGGTAAGCAACGAATATAAAATCATGACCGTAATTGTGATCTCTATTAATTAATATATATATTAGTCTAAAATAAAGTAGCTTCTGCGCCGAGACCTGCTCCGACGATGATGTTATAACCAAACCGCTGTGACTTACCAACAATGCGAGAGCACGTGATCCTATAGTAGATTCGATCGTGAATACACATACCATTCACGTAGGCGGGAAGAAGAATAAAAGAGATTCGTGTCACGACATCGTCTTCGACATTCGTATTATTTCAATCCGCTTTCGCGACATGCTACAGGGCAGATAAAAAATTAATTTAAAACGTCGCCGAGTTACGTCGTTGGAAAAAGACGATTTCTCTGATTTGTTGTTTAGCCATATTATTCGAAAATAAAATGTAGTCTAATGTGTTGTTGAGTTATACTTAAAAAATAATGAGTCGGACTAGCCATTGACTTGTACTACGACCTCGATTCTTTGGTAAAGTGACGACTCGTAGCGGAAATTTTGGAACTAATCTGTAATGGCTACTGCACACAGGACGCGGTAATACTTGCCGCACGGCGAAAGTCCGCGCGACAGCCAATCAATATGTTGTTTTTCCGTAAGAGCTAGAAGGTTATTACGGAAAGCAGCATATTGATTTGCTGTCGCGCGAACTTCCGCCGCGCGGCAAGCATTACCGCGTCCTGTGTGCAGGAACCATTATAGAAAAGCGGTATGTTGATTGACTGCCAACGCGACAGCTGCAAGTTAATACAGCTGTACTACACTTTACTGCAACTTGATGTATTTGATCTCGTCTCTGAGATTTAATAGATATCGGCTTGGTTTACATCGTGCACTTGATACGCGTACTAAATAGTAACTTTCTATTAGATAATCTTATAGCGTGTTCGACTGGCCCTGGGTTAATCGCTCCGAGAGCGATTAATGACGTCATAAGTCTCTACTAGCCAATCATAAAGCTTATAAGTACTTGTTCAACCAATAAACGTAAGCTGAATAATCCAGAGTGGGTTAATCCAGAGCCAGTCGAACATGCTATATGATTATCTAATAGAAAGTTACTATTTAGTACACGTATCAAGTGCACGATGGGTGTTTTCCAATTGCTTAACACATCTTGACACATATGTATACAGAAATGTACAAAGTGTAACGTTGTGCACGATTCAATTGGAACAAAGTGTGTACTAATGTGTATGTATGTCGGATAAGGTTAGGATTATTTTTCAACTATGCTTATATTTTGGTATTTTTTAATAATAAATAATAAAATCTAAATAATAAAAAAGATATTATCCACTTTATGTCTCAAATGCCAATCTTTTTTCAAGCCTCTACGCTTATTAACTTTAATTTTCACTAGAACAATTTTCACTAGAAAACACTAGTTTACATAGCTGACTAGTAGCCCTTGAGCTGAGTACGGATGTGTAGTGTTGTGTCGACAATTACGACAATTGGAATGTAACTTGTGTCGCCGTGTGCATAAAAGTGTCTAGAGATATTGCAATTGGAAAGCACCCGATGTAAACCAAGCCAAAATAATCGACTTAATATTGGGGTGGGACCCGATTGACCACGATACGATTGAACACAGATTGTAATGATTGGTTCGACCTAGTAATTCACTAGATAATTCTTTTCATCGGATGGTTGTGTCCAATCATACCGTGGTCAATCGGGACGCTCCCTTGATATTGTCCATCCCTAGTTCCTGCCTAATCGCCGTTAAGGTCGTTCTACATTAGTTGCAAGTCGATTGCAACTCTTGTTGCGATAGCCAATCAAAAGCGTCGATAGCACCATTGATGCTTCTGATTGGCTGTCGCAATAAGAATTGCGTCTGCTTGCGATCGACTTGCTACTAATGTAGAACGATCTTTACGTGTAGACGTGTCCAAACAAATTTGGACCTTCTTTTTGGAACTTGTACTTCAGTACCTTGGCAGAAAAGGCTATTTGGAAAAGTTTACAAACCAAGAAAAAGCATTTTTTCGTTTCGTAACCACGGTAGCGTTTGGTTGATTAGTTTGGTCCACTTTTACGCTCGCTACGCCGCGAGCGTCATTCTATCTTTAGCTGTGTTCGCTTTGGGCGCTTACGCGCTGTAAGCGTTATTCTATCTTTATAACGCTCATTACATGCGGGAAAAAGATAGAATAACACTTACAGCACATAAGCGTCCAAAGCGAACGCAGCCTTTGTTGCTCAAGGCGTTGCGAGCGTTAAGTGGACCAAACCAACCAACCAAACGGTATCGTGGTCATGAAATGAAAAAACGCCTTAAAATATAGAGAAGAAGAATATCAGGAAAGTTTTATGAGGTTAGAAAATCTTCAAGATCTGTTGTGTTTTATGGGTTTTATGTGATTATATATAAATAAAATAATTATTGTATAATTAATATTTATTAATAATTTTCATATTTCATTTTTATTTAAAATACTAATATCTCAAATTTCTATCATCTTGATTAATGAAAACCTGTAGACTCTGTAGACTAAATATTTTCTTTAATATTGTTAACGTTTAGCACATTTTATATTTTTACCTAGATATGTTGCATAGAAAGGATTGTATGAAAACCTTGCCTCTGTTAGAAGGAGCAAAACTGATCGTCATAGATGAAGGTTGGTTGTTTCTAATATATTTAATCCACTATTTTGTGTATATCTTATACATATATATACTAATTAAAAATATTGATTATCTTGTATTTTACAGGATTAGAGGCAATATATGCAAGAATGTTGATAGCTGGTTGGATGCATACATGGTCAGAAAAAGATCCTAACTATGATGTCCATCTATTATCATTTTGCAATACAAGACTTTGGTATAATGACGAACCAAAACCGTTTATGTCTAAGAATATGCAGTTACATGATTATTACAGCTTTATCAATTTTGATGAAGTAGTAAATAAAGATTTAGAAAATCTCACACATATTCTTCAGACTTTCACTTCATCCAACATAGTTATTGTTGATTGCTTGAGCAGCTTGGCTTTATATGTTGGTTTAGCAAAATCTCTGTGGTTCATAGAAAAGTTAAGCAAACAAGTGTCACAATTGATTTGCATTTATAAAAGGGATTTTATGCAAACCAATATTCCTGCTATCGAGACATTGGGCACTACTTATGTAAAATTAGAGAAATGCGTTGGAATTAGCGTAACAAACAATTTAGTGTATAGCACAACACTTGTTCACAGAAAGCCAGGTGGCTCGTTATTGTGTCAAAAAGAAATAATAACTCAGAACAATATAACTTATCAAATCATTAGTGGAAGCATCATCACACCGATTGATCACGAGGATCAAACTAATATAAACCAACCAGTGAAAATTGAATCATCATTTAGGATAGAAATGAATGCTCAGGAGATGGAGCAAAGAGATAGAACACCTTTACCTTACATGATGAATGCAGCAAGTACATCCAAGATACATTATCAGCCAGATGATGTAGACGACATAGATGAAGATGATCCTGATGATGATTTATGTATATAAATTGACTAAAATGAAACATTTATAAAAATTTCTTGTTATATATTTTATATGTATTACATAAAATTATCTCTGAACTTTATTTCATCCTTCCTGCAATCCAGAATTTTCTTCCAGAATTCGGAGTAGATTCTTTCAATATATATCGTATACATATCACACAATACTAAAGGAAATAACTGTTTATTAATAAGCTATAGTATATCTGATAGAATTGTCGTGTATTTATTATTGATCACTTTACATGATTTATACACATTCATATAGAGATTCGTTTCGATATAAAACAAAGTTCAACAGAAAATGAAATTATCTCATAGAACAAGGAGAGACAGTGACTTGACAAGTTCCAAGACACTATAGCTATAGTGTAATACTTGTATTGCGGAATCATCGCGTAGCACACACACGTTTCTCTTTGTAATTACAAACTATACATTTGTCTTCGTACGTGTACAAAGCTCAAACATTGACGAAAAATTCAAGCAAATTTTCTCAAATTTCCCGTATGACGTTAATATTAGGAAAATAGATTGCTGTCTGTGTTGCTCATTTTTGGCATTCTTTCTAGCCGCATCTCTTGGGAACATCTTATCCTTCCGTAAAATATATTACGACAGAAAATCAGGATTTCCGTATATGAAAATAGCATCTTTGCATCAGAGGATTTCTTACATTATATAAGTGCGGCATATAATATGCTAAACACAGCCTTCGCAAATTTCAGATAGAGTTACTGTAAAACAGTTAGCTACTGTCATATTGTACTCGCAGCTAATACTGGTACTGTTTCTCATTTAATAACAGAAATACGTTACTTATTTAAAAAGTAGTATATCTGTATATCTAATAACAAACAATATTCTCACTGTATAAAATCTTACACATTTAGTCTGCAAAATGTCACTATAAAAATTAAATTCTATCTAAGAACACTGCAAAATAATCACTTGATTACTTCGCTGTGCTTGTACTCACAGTAAACGACAACATACGAGGAACTATTGCAGTCATAAATAAATATAATTGTATGTAACTCTTCTCTGGAGTCCACAACTTATTCAAACAATCTCGCTTTTCTCATTCGCAGCCGCTATTTAAAATATAAACATATGGAACTATTTTCTCTTTTGAATTAATTTAAGTTGAGAACTTAATTAACGTGTAGAATGTACACGTTCATACTGCTTGCATTGTACAGAGTATACCATTAATTTAAAAAATATAAATTAAACTATATCTCTCTCTTTCTCTTTGTGCCTTGTTAAACCGAAGTTTAACTATGCGTTGAAGGTGTACAGTAGGTTCTGGTCATAGAAGTGATGCGTACCATCCACGTGTTGGAGAACTCTGCTTTCCAACAAACAACGGCCGTATCGAACAGCATCCTCCCGATTATCCGCGATTCCAACTTCCATTAACCAGTTGACTAGATCCGTGCCGGAGAATACTCCTCTGTATACCCTCAACAATCGTCTGCGACACATGGATATGCGTGCTCGACACGCCTCTAAGTGACATCGATTAAACTGTTCCCGGATTGCTCTCACTTCAGGACTCAAAGCCTCTTCGCAAGGAAGTTGTAACTCTTTCCCTGTCGAAATTTTTGGAAAGATTATTAAATGCACTTTAATCGCGATATCTAATGTGATGAAATAAAACAAGCAGATTTAACGACGTTATGAGTGTAACAAACTTACGTGTAATCGTATGTACCATACTTTCTCATCTTGAACTGTGTATGTATATGTGTATGTGTACAGATTTTTAATAGTATATGTATGTATAGTGTATGTGTACAGATTTTTAATAGTATATACCTGTACGCCATTTTCTACAAGTCTTTCGCAGCCAACATCCAAATTTACCCAGACTTGGATCTAACCCAAAGATCGCGAATGCTATTAACGATTGCCCAAAGTTCAAGGCCACATCTAAGAATGCGAGCTCGGCGTAAATGCCAGAGAACTGTTCCATAATCAACGTCCCTATGGATATTGATATGCCCTGTAAAACATTAAGATTGAATCTCACTATCTCACGAATAACATCTACGATAATGAAAAGTTGACATGATTCAACGTACAATGAACATGGAGCACAACAGCAGAATAAGTAAAACGAGATGACGCAGAACCTGTGGATCATTATCCACATTTGTATTGTTCTCTTCGATGCAATTGTAGCTGTCTCCGTACACCCCGCACGCTTCGCCAGTCGGACATCCGTTTTGGAAATCACAACGAATTCTGAAAGCGGTATTTGCGTAATGCGTTTCACACGCAGACGTTGGTATAAAACAATTACGAGATAATTGCATACAGCAATCTCGTCGTGAAAATTCACTCACCCAGGTGAACTGATCAACGGTGAGACTATATCCTCGACATCCACAACGGATCTCTCACTGACTGGGACTGTTGTGTTCTCTATGTTGTTCCCGAGATCCTCGTACGACATTTCAGGATGTCTTCTTTGGTACCTCTGTTGTAAGACCAAGCAACCTAACGTCACTGTAGAAAATCAAACCATTTTTACATAGTGGTGACTAAAAATGTTGTGTACATTTGTGTATGCATTTCATGACATAATGCTGTATTGACAATTTAGGAAAACGATTTTTCAAACATGTCTCATCACGTACCTATGAAGCAGAATATCAGTAAGAATGAAGACACAGCCGCTTGAACTCTGTCTAATTGGAAATTTGGATTTTTCATATTAAGATCGGTCAGGTTTGGGCTGATGGAGAAGCATAGAACTATCACCATGAAAAGCGGCACTCTGGAAATTCATATTATTGCAGACACATCGAGTGGGCATTTGTGTTTCAATAATCGCGAGAAAAAAAGCTCATATTCTTACCCCCATCCGATAGGATAAAAGAACTTCTGCAATTTCTCAACGTGGGCTCGTGTATACACACTCAGATATAACAATGTCGCTGCGATTCCAGCTGTCCACATTCTACTCGCGTACACGCCGATTGTTATTAGAATAAACTGAATGTACCTAAGTAGTTGGTAACAAAATGATCAGCGTAATAAATATTTCAGAAGAATTACCAAGTAATTACGCAAAAATTGCCTTACCATAATATTGTAACATAATTGCACTTCGGATCCAATCTCGACCAAATGATCACGCCTATCGCCGTTGCGAACTGAAATTACATTGTTACACATGCATAATTTCAATCATAATAAAATACATTTAAATAGTTGTAAAACGGTAGATTTTGCTCGGTCAATCTATCATCATATTCTGCTAGCAAAGAATTTACGGCAAATACTGCGCACGATCTGCTCTCCTGTAGATTTTGACTATCTAGATATATACTTCGTAATTAATTCATGATATATACCTGCGCGATTATGAGGCATAGAGTGCACCGGTGAGTGACGTGATTGTATTTCTTCCATCCGAATCCGAGGAAGCATATCATCAGCCATACGCAAGCGGCGGCGGACGCAACGCTCATGTCGAAGGAAAAGATATTCAATTGGTATGCATAATTGGCCGGCGTGATCCCGGCGTAAGCCGCGTCGATCAGCTTGGCCGACACGAACATGAGCGGAGCGGACAAGAATGTGCAAGCCACCATCGCCGAAGCGATCAGGTCAATCTCGATATTATATCGCAGAGTGAATATGAATAAAGCCGGCGCCGTTGGGATCGTACCGTACAGAAAACCGTACGTGCTCAAATCTCTCGTTTCCGTGTCGTTATATCCGGCGTTTAAGAGGATGATGGACTCCCTTATAACCAGAGGCAGGACTAGCAGCTTCACCGAGATCAGTATACCAGGTATAACCAGTGCGGTGCCTTTCAACTTGTGCACCTTGCCTACCATCATCAGACCGAGGAGAAAGAGCGCGCTGGCGGAGAACGCGTTGCCGAACACCTCGAGAATTGTAGCGAGCAGATGCGGCACGTTGTGCCTGAAGACGAGATTCCCCACGATGCCCAAAACAGTCATGAATAGTACCGGATTCAGCACAACGCCCTTCACCACAGACAAGACCATGTCTTTGTAACTAGTGTGCTCCTCGACACGTCGCTTGCCTATCTCCAGCAGGACAAAACCAATCGGGTTCAGGATGGCCAACGATATAGGAGCCATCAGGTAAAGATACGCGGCATACTCGGGATGCGTTTGTCCGTACAGAGCATCGACTGAAAAGACATTATCGTATTTGTAACATATTTTGTATTCATTATATATTATGAGAAAAAGGACAAATGTACGCTTATCTCTTCGGTTCTCAATTCTAGAAGTATTAGAATTCGCGAGCATTATTAAATCTATGAATTCTCAGTATTTCAAACAAGAGACTCGTAAAATCTCAAAATATTAAATGCAATATCAATGCAATCGAGTACTATGTTTGATTTTGAAATATTTACTAATTCTAAAGCTTCTATAAGAGAAACTTGAAAAGAACATTGGTCACTTTTCTTAAAAGAACGTTCGGTTGCTCTTACTCATCGGATATCCAATAGCAAAATCATTGCTCTGAGTGGTAAATATCGCGAAGAGCGCGGCGCGTCCAGGATTCGACGGTTTCTTAATTACTAGCGAAACCACAAGTACCACGATAAACACACAGCTTTTGGCGAGCAGTACAGCGATCAGGAAGTGCCAGTTAACCAATGAGAAATCGAGTTTTGCCAGAGACATAAAAATTAAAGATGGCAAAGCAAAGGTGCCCACAAAGGTGTTCAGACCATTCGCTTCTGACTTTGTTATCACGTCGAATCTTCCAGCTACATATCTGCAAGATAGATATTTCATTAATTCAAATCAAAATGTTTTGCTCTTAATATATTATGGCCTATATTCTAAACTCTCTTTTGTCATTAAAAGCATTTGCAAAAATAGCTTACAATATTTTGATATAAGCTACTTTTAGACATTTTTAGCTATAAAAGAAAATTTAAAATATAGGCCTATATGTATTTAAATTATATATCAAGTATCCTACAGTTAAAAATTGACACAAAAAAGAGAATTTCAATACAATTCAAGATATTGAAACATTTAGTAGTTTCTTACTTGAATACAAAGTAATCTTATTCTTACTTGAATACAAAGTATCAAAAATATTCTTACCCACATAATATAATAACAAAACATTGTACCAGTGCAAGATATAAATCATCTGTGGGCTCCACCTGCGTCATTATAGATTGATCCATGTTTGATGATAAAGATGTCAGCAAAGTGCTTTCTTGACTATTCTAAAATCACCAGTTAAAAGAAAAAAACATATTAGAGGAAAATATAGCGCAAACATTTAAGCAATACAGAAAATATTTTTTGAACTTAATATATACCTTTTTTTAGCTACATAAAAGATATCTCATTATATTATAATTAGCATCATAACAATAAGGTTTTTGTATAATAAATTCCTATGTTGTCTTCATATCTGCAAGTAAATGTTTTTCTTATAGTTTCTTCATCTTATATAATCTCTTTATATTAATACAATTTATCAAGTGATAGATTTAATATTAACATATGGTTGCACAGAAAAGCACAAATAAAAATAGATAATTGTGGAACAATGATTTATACAAAAATACTTTGCTGGTAAGAGAAAAAAGAATGACGAAATATTATCGTTTATTCTAGTTGTTATCGATACAACTGTTCGCCAATACGAATATAAAAGAGCCATGATCATACAATTAGACATTGTATGATTAACCAAAAAATCACCTAAAAGCTCCCATCGCAATGCGGGAGAGGTCAATCGAGAAACATTCGTTTTCTTCAAAACGACAGAGAATGACAAGGAAGCAGATAATCCTGTAGTCCTACGAACGATGGTATTTAAATTTGAGCGATGATAGATGAATTTGTCACACAGGTAATCGTCACGTAAGTGAGTGCAAGAGAGACAGAGCAAGACCGCTGTCACACGGGCCGGATATTAAATACGCATGCGTCGGCAAACTCGACACACCCGGGATATATGAATTGCGCTTTTTTCCATTCGTATCTTATCACTAGGTCGATAACAGTATTAGACCAAAGCTAGAATGTGTGATATATATTATAAAAATTGCACGATGCTTGGTATAAAATGAAGCAGCGCCCGTCGATCTGTTGACAGACTTACAGATGACAGAAGACACTACAGATGACAGTAGACAGTACAGTAGACAGTAGACAATACAGTAGACAGTAGACAATACAGTAGATAATAAACAATACAGTAGACAATAAACAGTACGCGACACGATATTACGACACGACTATATACGATATTATACCGCAACATATTATATTACAATGGCACGAAGAATATTTCAACGAATATGGTGTTTCGTCAAAGAAGAAGTAGACGAACAAACGGAGCAATTGGTCAAGGAGTTCGTACGTCAGTTGTTCAGTTGGTTAGTTGACCAAATACGCTATTCAATAGCACCGATCATCATTCAATGGAGTTTCGATGCATATACCAAATTACTCTTCAACATTGGTCAACCGTTACATATCTCTCGTTTTATTCACATATTACGAATCAATTGCTCCTCTATAGGTAATATTATGCTAGAAGAAGAAAACTATTTGATGACAACTATTGATGACAACTCACAATTATATATTAATATTTTAGATCGCTAATGGAAAAGAGAAGCAAGCTAGATGATAGTTAGGTCCTAAGTATCTAGTTGATAAGTGGGTTTAGTCATAATTTTAACTTTAACCCACATGGCCACGAAGTGGCCCAACATTTTTAATTTTTCCAAACAAGGCTAACAAGAGCCATTTTTAGTAATTAAGAAATTAATTTTTCGATGTAAAAATTAATTTCCTAATTATTTGAGGGAGAAGGACTGTGACGTTTACGCAGTCCTCATTCCTTCAAAGTGCAAAACGCGAATCAACCTTGAACGCAGAATTATCAGCAATTTTTTTTCAAACGCTATTCGCACATAAATTCGTATCCTGATAAGATATTATATCGAGTTGTAATCATATACATTATCGTTATTCTGATAAGATATTATCGAGTCGTAATCATATACATGATATGTGTTATCAAAATTCTACAATTTGTGTCTGTCTTAAGTATTCCCAGGAAATGACTTCCAAGACAAGGCCGATAAAAATTGTTCCTAATAAGAAATTAATTTTTCATCGTAAAAATATTTTTCTAATTAATTATACCTTTAGAAAAATTTACTTTAAAATGTTCAAATTAATTTAAAGTTGCTTAAAGTTAATTTAAACAACTTAAAGTAATTTTTCTTAAGGGTATCGATTAATTAATTTCTTAACTGTTTTTTAAATAACTTCTCTTTTTAGGAAAGATAACTGTGTGAAAATTTTCGCGTTTTTCATTCTTTTAAAGT